GTTTTTCTCCTGTGTGGACTCTCTGGTGACCAGAAAGGTGAAAACTGCGAGTAAAACATTTTCCACATTCCTGGCATTTGTATGATTTCTCCCCTGCGTGAACTGTCTGGTGTCTCCGAAGTCCAGAATTGTGAGCAAAACATTTCCTGCACTTTTGGCATTTGTATGGTTTCTCCCCTGTGTGAACTGTCTGGTGTCTCCGAAGTCCAGAATTGTGAGCAAAACATTTCCTGCACTTTTGGCATTTGTATCGTTTTTCTCCTGTGTGGACTATCTGGTGAACAGTAAGCTGAGATTTTCGAGCAAAACATTTTCCACATTCCTGGCATTTGTATGGTTTCTCTCCTCTGTGGACTGTCTGGTGACTCTGAAGACCGGAATTGTGAGTAAAACATTTCCCACACTTTTGGCATTTGTATGGTTTTTCCCCTGTGTGGACTTTCTGGTGTCTCCGAAGTTTACTATTGCGAGCAAAACATTTCCCACACGTTTGGCATTTGTATGGTTTTTCTCCAGTGTGGACTCTCTGGTATTTCAAAAGGACTGAATTGTGATTTAAAGATTTTCCCCATTCCTGACATTTGTAGAATTTCCTATTATTGTCAATACTCTGGCGCAGGTCAAGGAGGGAATTCCTTTCCAAACATTTCCCATTTTCCTGATACTGGTATTTCTTTTCTTCTCTGGCAATTATCTTTTGATTTGCAGGTTGTGTTTTTTTATTAAAAGCTTTCCTGTATACTTTTCCACTGATCCTTTGGTCTGAAGTGTGTTCTTTCTCCTGAAGTGTAGGTGCCACACTTTTAACAAGATCTTGCCTACACGTGGTGTTTTGGTAGGGCCCTCCTCTGGTGTAACTTCCCTGATCTGATGGAAGACAAAGAGCATAGAATAGATTCAGTGATTTATTTTTATCACTTGAAGTATCACCAGTTACCAAGACGTGTCCTTTAGAGTGAGAGAATTCCCTGGTGAGAACATTATATCTACAGGGAAAAGAGCCATTTGAGGAGAGTCACTCTCTTTCTCCCCCATCCCCCAAGAAGGTTTGAATGAGCAGCCAACAATTGTCAGTGGGACGCGAACATGAAGGTTCCCCACAGAAATGTTGTAGAACATCCCGCCCTGTTGTAAAAGAAAACCAACCTCTTACGTAGTGCTCCCACAGTTCGTGGTCGTGACATGAAGAGATGGTAGCCAGGAATTCAAGAGGTCCCATGGCTGCCAAACGACTTTTGCCACAATCTAGATTTGAAAAAGGAAAAACGTTCTTTGTTTCTTCACAATGAACCAAAACATTTATATTTAAGAAATCATTTCTTATTCATAGACTTGGATGAAGTTGTTCAAAAATACTGTTTTGCTGTTCTTTATCTCTTTCTCTTGACCTTCCGCCTAACAGGATGAGGGTGATTATTTCTTTTTTTCCAACTTGCTTTATCCCCTTCCACTTATCCATCATCAGATGGGCTGTGAAGAAGGATCCACCAGAGGGTGTCATTTTGGTGGGAAATCAAAAAAGAATAAAAGGAAGCGAGAAGGAGGGGGAGGGGAGGGGAAAGCTTGTTGGGTGACAGAAGCTGAAGAGGAGCGAGAGAAGGACTGGGGGGAAATATGTAGTACAAGAGGAGCCCTGAATATAAGGAATAGACAGAGTTCAAAGTTCCCAGAGAATATGCGGAGATGGACTGGAGAAGGAAGGTATATAAAAAAACCCCTTACTTGGGAGAAACCGAAGAAGAAAAAGAAGAATTACAGAGAGTGGCAACAGCCAGAAGCCCAAAGACGGAAAAATAGGTCATGTCTCCACCGTCCTGGGCAACCCCGTGGAGCGGGTCCCTTCAGGCCAAGGCTAAGACTGAACCCCAACAAGGAAGGTGTGGGAGCCTCAGGCAGACTGGGTTCTCCACGCCCTCCCTAATACGGTCAGACACAAAGATAACTCAGGAGTCACAATTGGGAATCCCATGTAAATGCCAAAGGTCAAGTTCCACCCCTCTGCAAGGGGAGAGGGACGAAGGAGAAGACAAGGTATCTCTGAAACCAGACTCAGAATCTGTTGTTGATGTTGAGCAAGACAATTTGTCAAACACAGAAGGACTTTTGTTTTGTCCTCAAGGCATCCATCAAGTGTAGCACCAGAAGAGGAAGAAAGGAGAACCAGACAAGATTACAAACCCCCTGAGTGCCAGGCAGTAAAGACGATTTTTCTAACTTGATCTCCACAATGCTATGATGCAAGGCTGAGGGGCTTTTGCCCTTGAGGCAGATCAGCTCCATTTCCCATTGAACTTCACCAATGACCAGGCTGCCCAGGGCTGACGGCATCTGGGATTCAGTCATACTGGGAGACAGACCCCACAGAAGTTCCCTACTCTTGTTTTAAGCACCTCCATCCCCATTAAGTGGTGTCACTGCTCTCCCTTGAATCTTTCCGTTACTGCACTTCGTGTGAACCAGAGAATCACGGAGACTTACTGAGAGAAGCCACCATCTGACGGTTCTCCGCCGTGACGTCCCTGTGGAGGGATCTCTCATCCGGATCCAGCAGGGCCCATTCCTCCTGGGTGAAATTAACAGCCACCTCCTCAAAGGTCACCGGACCCTGGAAGAAAAGAAATTTTTACTAGCATAGCTCTAAAAACTAAAAGAATTTTATGTGTTTTGTGAACCAAAGGTAAGATGAGGTGGCCAGGATTTTTTTCACCAGGTTTCATTTTTTCTAACTTGATCTCCACAATGCTATGATGCAAGGCTGAGGGGCTTTTGCCCTTGAGGCAGATCAGCTCCATTTCCCATTGAACTTCACCAATGACCAGGCTGCCCAGGGATAATGGCATCTTGGATTCAGTCATACTGGGAGACCCCACAGGAGTTCCCTACTCTTGTTTTAATCACCTCCATCCCCATTAACTGGTGTCACTGCTCTCCTTTGGATATTGCTGTTACTGCACTTCGCGTGAACCAGAGAATCACGGAGCCTTACTGAGAGAAGCCACCATCTGACGGTTCTCCGCCATGACATCCCTGTGGAGGGATCTCTCATCCGGATCCAGCAGGGCCCATTCCCCCTGGGTGAAATTAACAGCCACCTCCTCAAAGGTTACCGGACCCTGGAAGAAAAGAATTTTTTACCAGCATAGCTGTAAAACAATCTAATGTGTTTTGTGAACCAAAGCGAAGATGGTGTGGCCAGGATTTTTTTCACCAGGTTTCATTTGGATTTTTTGAGTGCAATTTACTGTCTTCCTAAAGGAAGTTGCTTTTACCCCAGAGTAGGAGTCCTATGGACCCAAGGCTCCCTCCAGGTGAGAGGCTGCACATTTCAGAATCTCACTTTCTCCGGAATGGCAGCAAGAGGGAGGGCTGGACTTTCCTTAAAGGGTAGAGAGGGATCTTAAACGGTGCAGGGCTAATAGTTTACCTCCCTTAGAGACGCACCAAAGGTGAGAAGTGGTGAACTCGTGCCATTCAAAAATGTCTACAAAAACAAGAAATTAAAGAGAGGAAACGAAACATCCAGATGGAAAGTCCAGCTTCCAGCTTTCTGATTTCTCGGGCATGGAGAGGCCTCCAAATTGAAAGGCCTCTCAGGTTTCGCAAAGGCCATTTTCTTAGGGAAAGAAATTGTGACTATTCCTTAATTTTAAACTTGGTTAGGCTGATCTGGTCTTAGAGGTAGCCTTTGAGGGACTCTGTATTTTCCTTCTTACTACAGATGCTGAGTAAACACTTAATGGAAACAGGAGGAAGGGACTAAACGCGTTTTATATGCTCCCGTAGGACTGAGGAAGAGAATAGGATGCAATCTTCCTAGAAATCCGTTGCCCCCCTACCTGATCCGGGTCCTCCCCATGAGAAAGAAGAGCAGACATCGGGGGTCTTATCACAGGCATTGTTGCAACTTCTGCAGGAGAAATGAAAAACAGTTCCAGTGATTTGGCTGATTGAAAACAACCCTTTCGCAACATGATAGGAATCATCCAAGAGGAAGAGAATAGGATGCAATCTTCCTAGAAATCCGTTGCCCCCCTACCTGATCCGGGTCCTCCCCATGAGAAAGAAGAGCAGACATCGGGGGTCTTATCACAGGCATTGTTGCAACTTCTGCAGGAGAAATGAAAAACAGTTCCAGTGATTTGGCTGATTGAAAACAACCCTTTCGCAACATGATAGGAATCATCCAAATAAGATGGGTTGGGTGCTTGGGTTTTTGGATGGATGATGAAATACTCTGTCCTCTCAACACACAAAGAGAAAAGTAGAAAAGGAATCCCTCCAGAGAAAAAGAGTGAACTTAAAGACACAGCCCTTCCCAGTGGGAATCCTTACCTTTCAAGCGGGCACCATCATCATCATCATGCTCCTTCCTTCTTAAGAGCTTACTCTGCCTCCTGTTTGATGGAGTCTTCTCAGTTGCAAGGAAATCCCACTGAACCCCCAGTGAGAGGTTTTGGATTTGACCAGTTGAGGGTCCAAGCCATGGAATTTCAAAATGGAAAAAAATCACAAAAGAACAGAAATCTAGGCTGATAAAGTTCTGCTATGGAAATATTTCCCCACCAACAATGGGTCAAGAATTTGGGGATATTCTCTAACAATACGTGCAACTGGGGGCAGATTTCCTCCCCGTGCCTACTGGGGTATAGAGGCCATACGCTCCCCACCCTTCTTTCACAGTCACCGGGAGGAACTGCTGTCTCACCTTCTGCTCTTCCTGCCTCTTCTCCTCGGCCTGACTCAGGAGGAAGCCTTCGGCCAGGGCCACCGCCTGGGAACTGGTTTCCGCTCCACATTCCCTCACCCAGCGGGACATCTCTGGGGGAAGGATGGCCAGGAACTGCTCCAGGATCACCAGGTCCAGGATCTGAGCCTTGGTGTGCCTTTCTGGCTGCAGCCATCGACGGCAGAGATGGTGGAGTTGGCTGCAAGCTTCTCGGGGCCCTTCCGCTTCTTCATAGGAGAAGCATCTGAAGCGCTGCCACTGCTCCGGTGAGCTGACAATGTGTTCATCCAGGACATCCCGGCTCTTTCTTTCCCACAAACCAGCACTCATTTCATTCTGCATCCTATGGGGCTCTCATCCTGCTCCCACACCAGCTGACTTGTCCTCTGCCATCTCTGACCTGTGCTGAAAGGAAAGCTGCCATGAAGTTGCTCTTTAAATAATTAAGAGAGGTTGTGTGAAGGCTGACTTTGGAGATCCCATCTCATTCAAAAGGAGAGATAGGGAAATGCCAAAGATAAAACAGAAATGGGACATCTGAAAAGCTTTTTTTCATTTAAAGCGGGACCTTGCCTTGAGGGGAGACCCAGAAAGGTAACCAACCCCAGACTGCTCCCCCTCACCTTTCTCAGCCATCCTCACCCAAAGGGACACACTCTGCCTTTGATCCTCACCTGCCTTTTAACCCATCCCTGTCTATGGCTACCTCTTCAAGAGTTCATTGATGAAAGGAAACTCAGAAGTGATCCCTCAGAAGCTCCTTCTAGTTTTCCTGTGCAAAAACAATAAAATGCATTGAAGATGTAACATGCAAAGTAAAGGTAAAGGTTCCCCTTGACATCTAGTCCAGTCGTGTCTGACTCTAAGGGGTCGGTGCTCAGCCCCGTTTCCAAGCCTTAGAACCAGCATTTGTCCATAGACAGTTTCCATGGTAACGTGGCCAGCACGACTAGACTCAGAACGCTGTTACCTTCCCACCATGGTGGTACCTATTTATCTACTCGCATTTTACATGCTTTCGAACTGCCACGGGAGATCACTCCATTGCGTGGAATCCAACTGCTGATCTTTCAATCTTGCAGCCAGACTCCGTGGTTTAACCCGCAGTGCCACCACGTCCCACATGCAAGAGGTAGTTTTTAATATAAGAATTTTAAAAAACCACTGTAATATCTCTTATTTATTTTTAGGGTAGACTACTTTGAAAGAGAGAGGTTCTATCTGCAAGTAGCTCCTACATGAGCTGTCCTTCTGGAAGACCAATATTTTTTTTCCTAACCCCCCCCCCCAGAAGACACACAAAGGCCTTTCCTCGTGTTGGGCCAGAGTTCATGTGAGGAAGGGGAAAAACTACTTCCTT